CTCTGGTAGGGTAGCGGTTATGAATTGGGCTGCAAACCACAAGGTTAGCAATTCTAATCTACCAGCTGTTTCACAGAAGAAAGATGAACTGTTCTGCTCCTGTAAAGAATTTACAGCCTTGGAAACCCTATACAGGGTTGCTATGGGTCAGAACCAACTCCATGGCATATAAACACCACCACCATATAAATGTTATTATTCATTGAATATTAATCTGGAAAGCAGCCAAAAGAGATTATAAACTGAAACTTTGGCATATTTTTTTGTGAGAATTCACCACTAAGACGGCTTCTTCAGTTTTCAGAGGTAGAAGCCTAAGAATATCTCCCTCTCCACCTCAAGCAGATGAAGCATTCACTTGATGGTAGTTTATGTAATCATGATTATCACCATAATTTACTACACCTTATCTTTTCAAAGTGGAAATGATGCAGTGATTTCAAAGTGTCTCCTGTTTCTTTCTCCCTAGGAACCAGACTGAGGAGCTCAGGGTTAGGGATGTCCCCTTGCAACAACTCCATTCCTCAGCCCTTGGTATTTGTCCTGGCTGGAATCCCTGGCATGGAATCTTCCCATGGATGGTTCTCTGTGCCTTTTTTCTTGGTTTTTATTATCGCAGTCATTGGTAATGCTACCATTTTATACATCATCTGGAAGGAGAAGAGTCTTCATGAGCCCATGTTTCTCCTCTTAGCCATGTTATCAGTGGTTGACCTGTCCCTGGTCAGTGTCACTGTGCCCCGCATGCTTGCTATCTTCTGGATGGATGCCAAGGAAATCAGCATCAATGCCTGCCTCACACAGATGTTTTTCATTCCTTCCTTTTATGTCATGGAATCTGGTATCCTATTGGCCATGGCTTTTGACAGATTTGTGGCTATCAGGAACCCTCTGAGATATACAACAATCCTTGATAACAATATGCTTGTGAAGATGGCACTGACTGTCCTGGCAAGGGCAGTGGCAGTACTGACCCCAGCACCCATCCTGACAAAAAGACTAGATAGATTCCAAACTCATATTATTGCTTACTCCTATTGTGCTTACATGGCTGTGGTAAAGATAGCCTGTGGAGACATTTCTAATCACATTGTCTACGGCCTCATGGTTATTATAGCATCTGTGGGATTTGATTTGTTTTTCATCATTTTGTCCTATGGGATGATTCTTCATGCTGTTTTTCGTATACCATCTTGGGAGGCACGGGGTAAAGCTCTTAACACATGTGGCTCTCATTTCTGCATCATTGCTCTCTTTTATTCTCCTGTTGTCTTCTCTGTCTTGGCACAGATTTTTGGCTACCACATGGCTTCCCACATACAGATCATTATTGACAACTTATACTTCCTGGTGCCTCCCATGGTCAATCCACTGATATATGGGGCTAGGACTAAGCAGATTCGGGAACAGGTGCTGCGTATCCTCCCCTGTCATAAAGACTGAGGTTGATGCTTTGGATGGACACTATTTATAGGGTTGTGGGTATAGAAATCATGTTAGATGGGAAATAAAAATAATTTCTTCCAGATTTTTGGGTTCATGGGAAATTAATAATAAATTCAACAGTAGGATTCAGTAACTAAGGAATGCTTCATATGTCAAGATGCAGCATTTACGATCACAAGAATCTCATATCCTTCACAAATATTTATGCAAGAAGTAAAAATGGGAGAGAATACTACTGTTATTAGGTATAAAAATGGTGTAATTGCAGCACATCTCTTAATTTAGAAACCACTTTTAAATGAGTTGAGATGAAAATGCATCTCAAGTGTATACACTCAAGAAAATAATTATCCCATGATTCTTGCTTATTTATTATTTTTCTTTCTTGTTCTGATATTTCACCAACATAGAATTGTGTATTGTGGAAAAATTTAGCAATAGTAATAAAGACATAACCATCCACGTGTATATTAATATATTATACTTTTAAAGGGTTTTGATACCAAATGGTCATTTTAGGGAGTTGCTACTTCTGCCATAATGTGGCACCAGCTTTATGGTATTGGATATGAGATGTAGGTGTTCTGAAAATGAAAACAAACTTCAGACCTAAAATATATATATTATATATATGCTATGTTTTTATAGCTTTATGTTCCTTTTCCAGCATCCTGACATCATCTATTTACACCTGTTCACAACAACAAAATCTGTGTCTCAACCCTTTAGTTATGGCAGAGCTAGAGAAAACAAACTTTAATTGCCTTGTAAATCACTTTTCGTAAGCACCTTGCACTTAAGGTGCTCTGAACTAAACTTACAATCTTGCCAACTTGATTGTGCCTTACAATCCCTCATCTCAGTGACTTTGATTAGCGTTAACAAATCTGGTATAAAATCCTGAAATAATTTAGTTATTTTTATTTCTTTCCATTTACACCTGGTGTGGCAGTTGCCTGTTAACTGCAACAATTCAACTGATAAATCCTGCTGTCTTATTGCAGTATAAGCACTGCACTGCTAACTGCAAGGTAGGTAGTTCTAACCCATCAGTCCCTCCTTTGAAACCTTATACAAAGTTGGTATGAGTTGGAATTGACTGTTGTTGTTGTTGTTGTTGTTGTTAAGTGTCATTGAGTCGTGTTCAACACATGGTGACCCTTTTAGGGGGTTCAAGGAGCGACTGGTAACTTTTAACCTGTGACCTTCAGTTCACATCAACTTTGTTGTACAGTGCTTCTCCTACTATGCTATAACAGGACTCCTGCAATTGACTTTATTGTTGTTAAATGGTGTGGAGTTAGTTCCAACTCACAGCAACCCTATATAGAGTTTCTGAGGAGTGGCTGATGAGCTTGAACCACTGGTCTTCCTGTTCAAACTGACCTTGTAGCCCAGCACATTAACCCACAATGGCACACCAGGACTCAACAGCATTTAATAACGGCAAACTTATGCTGGTTTATTCTTCTTCATTCCACAATCTTTGTCTTACTTGAGACCATTATCATTTTTCAATTTCTGTACTGCAAAATTATTCAAACTGGCCTTCATATCTCCTATCGCTCCCTTATTCAAAGATATTCTTAACATTTCAACTAGAGTTGTCACCCTAAAATGAGATAGCATCTCTTTCACATAAAACCTTCACGAGTCTTTTGCGTAAAGTTCTAACTTTAGGTATAGCACTACTTGACTCCACCTTGCCCTTGGCAGGTATTTTATTCTCACTAACCCATACACTGGACCAATAAACAGCATCAAATTGAATGAACAAAGAAAAGATCGAACTTGTCAAAGACTTGATTTTGTTTGAATCCACAATCACCACTCATAAAAGCAGCAGTCAAGAAATCAAAGAAAATATTGCCTTAGTCAAATCTTCTGTACAACGCCTCTTTAAAAGTGTTCAACAGCCCCATATGCATGTGATATTTGAACAGTGAATAAGGAAGACCACAGAAGAATCGATGCATATGAGTTATGGTGTTGGAGAAGAATGGTAAAATTACATAGACTGCCAGAATAATGAACTTATTTGTATTGGAAGAAGTATAACCAGAATGCTTCTTAGAGGCCCGAATAGCAAGACCATCTCTCATACTTTAAACATACCTATGAGGTAGCGTAGTGGTTACGAATCGGGCTGCGAACCTTAAGGTCAGCAGTTCGAAACTACCAGCCGCTCCGTGGGAGAAAGATAAGGCTTTCTACTCCCGTAAAGATTTACACCCTTGGAAACCCTGTACAGGGTCGCTATGGGTTGGAACCGACTCGACGGCACTTCACAACAACAACAATGCCTGTAGAAGGACATCATACCTAGTAAATTGGAGGGTCACTAAAAATGAGGAAGACACCCAATGAGATGGATAGACACAATGGCAGCAACAATGTGCTCAAGCGTAACAATTGTGATGATGGAGCAGGTTAGGGCAGTGTTTCATTCTGTTGTGCATAGGATAGCTAAGATTCAGGACCAATTCAATGGCACCTAACAACAACAACAACAGAACTCAAGTATGGCACTGTAGTATAAGCACTGGACTGCTAACTATAAGTTTGGTAGTTCAAACCCACCAGATCCTCTCAGAAACACTATATACATGGTTTTCTGTGATTCATAACTGACTTAATGGCACACAAATATAACGAAGTCTAGACTGTATGATGGATGAAAACCTTGCTTGTATATGTGTGTTTGTGTGCATGTAATCATTCATAAACAAATAATTGAGGTCTTAAAATTTCTAGGACTTGGAAAATAATAGTGAATTATCATATATCCCCAGCCACTGTCTTTGAAGTATATACATTCTACCTTATTCTCTAAAAAATTGTTCTCAACAATTCCTTTCCTCCTTTGAAGTCTATTGACAAACTGTACTCCTAACTTTCTGAAGTTCAGTTTCTACTGGATCTAAGTCTGGTATTGCACAATATAAATAGCCCCCCTCTCCAGTTTCTCCCTTGTTCATATTTTAATCTTCCCTATGTCTCTTTTTCTGTATCTGCATTATAAAACAATATTTTTCATTTAGTTAAAATTTTACTCAAGATTTTGTGGATCCTAGATCATCTTTTTGTGGATTCTAACCTCTTGTAGCATCTTGAACCACCAGGAAAAAGATGAGATTTTCTGCCCTGATAAAGATTTACAACCTTGGAAACCCCTATACAGGGTCATTATGAGTTGGAACAACTCAACAGCATACAACCACCACCACCAACAACAACAAGTTTTTGTAAGAAGCATGGAGGCTCTGTACGTTAAACACTTGATCATGAACCACAAGGCTGGTGGCAGCTACTCCTCAGGAGAAAGATGTGGTTTATGCTCCTGAAAAGAGTATAGCCTAAAACCTATGTTGGGTTGACTATTAGTCGAAAATTACTCAAGTACACTTAACAATAACAACCTCTTTTAGGAAATCAAGAATACAAATTTCTATGTTTTTCTCATTGAACCCCTAAGGTCACTGGAACTGAAAATAATTTACATTACTGATGTAGAAGTAAGAACTACAATCTTTTGTAATTACAACTGTAGCGGAGAGCTTAATGGTTCCATACAATAAGTATTGGACTGAAAAGCACAAGGTTTGTGGGTTTTGAGCCCCAGCTATGGAGATCTAAGTCCTCGGAAACCCTGTAAAGAGTCTGAATAGACTGCATTGCTATCAGCAAGAATATTCAGAAATTCCGCCTTCAAGGTCCAAGGTCCCAAATTATACCCAATGCTTCTTTATTATCCCAGATATACTACTGACATCCAGTTTCCTTGTTACTCTGCATAACAAATATTGCTTGTTCATACCAATATTTCTTTAAACACAGTTGTTAAAGTGTCTCCTTGGACCTTGTTTTTCCTGCTTCAAAGCCCTACCAAATGCCCTCAAGTATAAACATTTCATTGTCCCAAGTCTTATTTATTTCCATTGTAATTAATTCTTAGTGCCTACTTTCTCTGTAATTTACAGACCATGTCCTTTCTCCTCACACAATATACCAAAGGTTATTTTTTACAGCATTCCTAAAAACTTAATCTCATGCACATGCCCTGTCCCGGAGGACTGTCTGTGGGATTCTTCTCCAGACATTTTATGATAGGAAAAGCTTGTGACCTAGCTAGGGTCCCAGGAGGGCAGGTTTTAAAAGCATAAATCTGCCTCAAGTTCAGTCTCTCCATCTTATTCTGCACATCGACAGAGCTCCATATAACTCAAGTGGACAGTTGTTTTGTTTATAGTAGTCCAACTGTGACAGGACTAACAATCATTCGCAGGCACTCCTCTGGGAAAAAGGTAAAAAGAGGGAGGGAAAAGTCTGACAAATCTTGGACTATAGAGACACATAAGATTAGGAGGTTTTCAAAGTATTTTCATCCAGACAAAAAAAAAAAAAACAACAAAAAAAACCACTAATTCTTGATAAAGCTATAGTTGGGATCTGTTATCTACAGAATTCTCAGTGATATTCTTTTTAAATGCTTTTCTGCAATTTATTCCTGGATGGGTGGTATTTCTAGGATACAATCTTTACAGAATCAGACTGCCACATGTTTCTTCCAAAGAGCAGCTTGTGTTTTTGAACTGCTTATTTATCAGTTGCAACTGAGTGTTTAACCATTGCACCCCCAGAGCTACTATGAAATCTTTCTAATACCATTACTCACACGGAAGCTTTCCAACTAAACATTCCTGATAGATTATCATTTCATTTCTACCTGAAAAATCCCCACTGATAGTGAGCTTTTGGTTTCACAGTGCTGTCTTTTTCTTTGGGGATAGCTTTTTTTGTGATAAAAGTGTGCCTTTCAAATTTGCTTCTTGTTGTTCTTTTTAAGTGCCATAGATTTAGTTCAATCCATAGGAAACTGCTTACAGTTTCTGAGAGTGGCTAGTGGGTTTGATTTACTGACCTTGCAGTTAGCAATTCATTTCTTATTCTACAGCATCATAATTAATCGCAAAATATTTGTAGACAAAATTGCCATG